CACTCATCTGTACATAATTTTTTCTGGCCCGGAAAAAGTGTGGTCTGTATGGAACCTGTGTGTTTGAGCTCTTAACCTCTTTCTTTTTCTCCAGTTCGAGTATAATATGGTGGCGTCAAAAAGAAGCTTGAAAATGTAATCACCCAGTTATTGTGTTAAAACCTTGCACTATCCACTCATGTAGCATACCAATATAAAGCTAAAATTTTTTAAACTAACACAGTCCAGGTGCAACAAAACGTTCGTGTTTTACACGAAACCAATAGCTCATAAACAAAATCACTTAATTATACTAATGAGCATTTGGTGTAATGCTACGTCTAGGTTTTGCGTAGGATATGTAATTGCTCTTTTTTCCAGTCTGTTTGAATATACATCTGAGGATGCTGTTCATTGCAGAGACAATGATGTTCTCCTTTCATTTGGCATTCAATGCATGTCCATTCCATCAATGTTGATGCACCTCAATATACGTGCGAAGACAATTGGTCGCTTTTAAGCACAAGGTTTCTATCCCGAAAAATACTGTTTTGAGAAAATTGAAGTTAAAGTTTTTGGACCCTTCTTCCGTTTCTTTAAAAGATAAGGGGGGTTTTCTCTATAACCAAACAAGTATACACACTAATGAAACCAAATTTCTCCTATAGGTAGGCCAATGCCCACTTTTGCTGAAGGTCAAGAGTTCAAGAAACCCCTGGAATCTGGGTTAGCCCGCTTGTCCTTAAAAGCGACCAATGTTACGTTTCTTTGATTTTTGCACAATTTTGCCAAGCCTGATTTTTAAAGGTCAATTTTGAGTGATATTGATGAAGTATTAACATGTCAAATGATGTAAAATTTATTTAGCTGTAGATTGGTATGCTGCATGAGTGGGTAGGGCAAGACTATAACATGACGACTGAGTGATTACATTTTCAAGTTTCTTTTGGACGCCACTGTTTAATAGCATCATCAACCCTTCCACCTGATTTCGTGCATGGTAAACATTTGTATTAAAACGTTGTAAAATAAAATTAATGTCTCAGATAGAACTGTTTCGTCAAAAATCCTTGCTATAAAACTCTTGTTTAAAATCTGTAATAAACCCAGGATAAAAGTTTGTACATTGTTCACAGTCTGCCGCCGACTCATGAAATGATAGGCTGAAATTTCCAGCAAGTAGCAAAGATCAAGTACGGTACATCTCGGAATATCACCACACCTTCACATCAGAGAGAGAGAGAGAGAGAGAGAGAGAGAGAGAGAGAGAGAGAGAGAGAGAGAGAGAGAGAGAGAGAGAGAGAGAGATAAAGTCAGAGAGAGACAAAAGTTTGCTCATCGGCGGGCAGCAGGCGAATCCGGCCGAATTTAAAAAAAAATCAGGCACAACTAACTATGACTGAGAGACCACGTGGTGGCGAAAGTCCAGTGTGCTGTAAACAGTTCTTGTAATGCCAGGAGTGTAAACGTGCGTGAGATTTAGAAAATTAATTTTTATTCAGTAACAAATTGTAAAATTATGTATAGACAGTCAAATTCTGCTCAATTTCAGGACTACATTTAAACTTGTGGTTGGGAGGGGGGGGATCTTCAGGCTGCCATTCAAAATGATTTATGGTTAATGTCAGACCTCAGAGAAATGGTGTAAGTCCTTGATATTTATTGTCGTTTTGAAATTGTCGGTGTGCATTCGACTCCAAAAGCTAAAAAAAAAAATGCAGTAGCAACCGTAGTTGCACCTTGACCCATACACATAACGTTAAAAACCCTAGGGACATACAAACATAATAAAGGGGCTCTCGTGGCCTAGAGGTTAAGGTGTTGGCCTCTCATTCAAAGGTCCCGGGTTCGAATCCGGGTAGCGACCGAAACAATTTCTTCTCTAATTGTCTCCTTTCACCTCCTTTCCTGCTCTCTAGCAACATTCTGTCGTCTGCTTTTTGTCTCCTCTTTCTGCCCCCACCCCCTCACCTCCTTTGCCCCCTCCTCTGGGCTCCTGACTCTTTCCGCAGCCTTTCTACTGCTACTCCTTGACTCCTTCTTACAGCTGTCTTTCTGCCACACCCCTGATCTTCTGGTAGGAAAGATCTACACCTAGCCTTCTCAGACAAGGGCGAAAAATCTCGGAGGGCCCGTGTGCAAGTTGCGCACGTTAAAGATCCCTTGGTGGTCTAAAATCGATAAGAGTAGGCTTCGGCCGCCACCCGGGTAAAATTCAAAATTTCCTACCAACTAAAAGTATTAGGTGTGTCCCGCGCGCTCATATGATCTTATGCAGTTGCGAGCGCCGTAAAAAACACTTACCAAAAAACATAATAAGCTGCAATTGAATTACGTTCACGCTTTCCTCTTTTCTCCTTTACTTCCATCTCCCCATGCATCTCTCACACTCGACCCATTCCCTATAATGGTATCCCTTCATGACGTTCTCATTACAGTAGTCTTTCTTCTTAGTCAACCTCTTATCAACTAAATTTCTGAACTTGGACTATATTTCTTTGAGATATAAATATCCTTTCATTTTCATTCTTTCCGACATTCTTCGAAAAATAAATTCTAAACAGGCTTGGTAATACACCTATAAACTATCATAAAATGATTGGCTATAAAATGCGCCAACAAAGTTTGTACGCGCATTCACAGATCACTC